GTAGTCCTAGATCAGGGGTGCCCACAATTTTTGTGTTAAGATCTATTTTTTTAATGACGAGCTACATGAGATCTACCAACGAAAAAAAAACCTCCCTCACTCTCTCTCTCCTGGCTGTCTCTCCTTGCTTATCCTCCCAGCTGTCTCTTCTCTCTCTCCAGGCTGTCATTCCTCGTTTTCTCTCCTGGCTGTCTCTCTTTGCTCTTTCCTGGCTGTCTCTAATCTCTCTCTTTCCTGGCTGTCTCTACTCTCTCTCTTTCCTGGCTGTCTCTACTCGCTCTCATTCCTGGCTGTCTCTACTTGCTCTCTTTCCTGGCTGTCTCTCTTCGCTCTCTTTCCTGGCTGTCTCTACTCGCTCTCTTTCCTGGCTGTCTCTACTCGCTCTCTTTCCTGGCTGTCTCTACTCGCTCTCTTTCCTGGCTGTCTCTACTCGCTCTCTTTCCTGGCTGTCTCTCCTCGCTCTCTTTCCTGGCTGTCTCTACTCGCTCTCTTTCCTGGCTGTCTCTACTCGCTCTCTTTCCTGGCTGTCTCTACTCGCTCTCTTTCCTGGCTGTCTCTCCTGGCTCACCTTGCTGTATTTTGCAAACAGTGCAACATGCTGTGTAAACTAATATTCTTTGATGTAATACATAGCACTTCAACCACTAGAATCCACCAGAAAGGTGTCAGGGAGCTTGGCTCAGCAGACTCAGGCTAATAGGTAATCATGTGTGCACAGCTAAATAAATATACCAAAAAAGAATAAAGGGGCCGCCATTCACACCCTTCGTGATCTACCAGCATAAGCTTCTAGAGCTACTGGTAGATCACCATCTACCTAATGGGCACCCCTGTCCTAGATTGTTCACTTCTCCTGCCTTCTCCAAACTCTTCACCCCTTTTGGAAATAACCCCCTTAGTCTTTGTTCTAGCAGGCTTCCTTCTCCCCACCCCCCTTGTGACCAGTCGCCTGAAGCCGCTTCACTTCGGCTGGTCGCAGCTCTCATCACGTACAATGGGCTTTAAATTATTATTACATAGTATTTATATAGCGCCAACAGTTTGCACAGCGCTTTACAATATAAGGAAGACATTACAGTTACAATACAATTCAAGACAAGATGGTAAGGAGGGCCCTGCCCCTGAGGGCTTACAATCTAAAAGAGGAGGGGGAAATGATACATGAGGTAGCTGTGGTAATGAATTATGTGAGAA